CAGAAGCTAAAATCTTCAAATTCAATTATATAATTAAATTAAATTAAAGTTCCTAGTTTTGTTTAATTTTTCAAAAAAAAATTTTGGAATAACTTATTTTGAAATTTACTGAGTTTTATAAGCATATCCATATATTAGTTTCTATCGATATGGAGAAAACCAGTCATTTTAACAAGGGGCGTTATATATATATAAATATATATATATATATATATATATATAATTTATTCGAAAATTATAATATAAATATGTTATAAAATCACTACAAAAATAGACATTTTGTTTCAACACTTCTGGTGTTTTATCAAGTGATGGTGTTGAATGTAGAATAAAGAGTTTTAAAAGGTTCAAATCAACCAAACACCTTGTTACATAAGCTACAATGACCAATCAAAATACAAGTAAATGAGAATTCCAAAAACTTGACAACGAACCTTAGTTATAATAATTAATGCCTAAATGTTAGGGTTAGACTAAAATAGAAATCATTCTAAAGGATTAATATTAAATTTTTACTATAAAACTGAAAATTAAAAATGACCAATTTTAAATTTAATCTGTATTATAAAATTATTTAAAGAAGAAACTGAGGAAAAAATACATATATGTTTTACTATTTATTTTGGTTTAATTGAAAGGCCAAAAACTCAGAATAAACGTTAAAATCTAATACTGATGCAAAGCTTCGTTACAACTTAGATACATCTGAAGTGGTGATATGGAGCATATGTAACAGATATGTAACAGTGTTCCCCCTATCGAGGGGTGTTTGGTCAACTTGAACCTTTTAAAACCCTATCTTCTACATTCAACACCATCACTTGCTAAGACACTAGAAGTGATGAAACAAAATGGCTATTTTTGTAGTGATTTTATAACTTACTAGCAGTAGAGCCCGGCGTTGCCCGGGGATGTAACAGTTAGAGATAGATCAAGTATCGACCATCATAAAGACTGAAAAATAAAATTGACAAAGATTATTGTTTAAGGTTGACGGACACGCATGTCTTAATTCGTTTTTTTTTTTTTTTTTTTTTTTTTTTATGAATTGGTCAAACCCAAACTCAAACAAAAACATTGTTTTCAGTCGTTATGAGTCTACCGATTGAATAGAATTTTATTATAAACAATTGTCTTGTAAATGGAATTTTTGAAGCATTCTGAATGTAAAAATAAAGAAAAAAGTGTGCAAGACAATAAGAAACACTACCTGCCAAAAAAAGTGAAGTTTTGTTGAAATCGGTTGAAAAATGTAGGAAATCCGATCCAATATATAAACTAACACACACACACACACACACAACAACACATAATAATCTGTGTTTTGTAACAAGTACAGAATTTATCGTTATTCAAATTGATTTCGAAAAAAACAATTGTGTTTTTCCAATTTTTGGCGCTGTCAAAACCACCACAAGGTAATTTTACGCAGTCCTGTGAAGTTTTGTTGAAATCGAAAAATGTATTTATATAAACGTTACACACACACACACACACACACACACACACACACACACAATCTGTGTTTTATAACAAGTAAGATTTATGTTATAATTTTCGAATAAATTATATTTGCTCTACTCTGTATTTAGCACTCTTTTAAGAATAGTATTTTTTGATTGCTGGAATTTATTCCGTATTCAACAATTCTATACTTATATATATATATATATATATATATATATATTGTTGACTGGCTTACTGTTTTGTTCCAGTCACCCTCTTTCTTTCAACTAAAAGTACTAGAGTCAATCTATATTAATTCTCGCAAACCTTGTCTCTGTAAATAACGTGATTATTTGCTGGGCTTTGCTATAATTAGTCTCTAGTAGTTCCCCAAACGCTGTTTTTTGTCCTCTCATCAATCATTCGCAAATTTAAAAATTTATTGTATTTTACTCGTTTTACTTTCGAAGCGCGGGAGCGAAACCGTTGGTTTAGTATTCAGCTAAATGTCTTTACAGCAATATTCAAGTTCTGTACGACTAAGAATGTTTTTATATATATATATCAGCGCCCGATATATATATATATATATATATATATATATATATATATATATATATATATATATATATATATATATATATATATATATCGCTTAAGGGTAAAATTACCGACTGATGCCAAATCAGATCCGCCCTGATGATTGCGTTCAAGCATGAAAAAGATTGTTGCCCCTGGGTGTTGATTTCAATATCCACTTTTATATTTACATACGCTCTCTCCCTGATATCGATCACTTTAATAATCCACAAATATAGCATACCTTTATACTGTTTATCATAAACAGACCATTTACTTAAATACTTGTATCTATAAAAAAGAACGTTAAACATAAAAATGTCTTTAATATATATATATATATATATATATATATATATATATATATATATATGCTGTTATATATGGTGTGGTGTCCCCCCGCTGTTCGTCTCAAGGTCCTCGACAAAATCCAGAGACGGATATGCAATGTGGTTGGCCCTGATCTGGTATCTCGTCTATAGTCGCTCTCTCATAGACGTGCCGTCGCCTCCCTCTGTCTTTTCTACAACTACTTTCACGGTGACTGCCCCGAAGTTCCCAGACTGCATGAATTTAAACGTGCTACTAGGCTGGCATCACAGTCCCATCCTTTCACTTTCGAAACAGTTAAATGTACCCGTCTCTTCTATTCCAATAGCTTAATGTCTCGCACTTCCCGTCTGTGGAACTCTCTTCCTATTACTTGTTTCCCTGATAGCTATAATCTTCAACTATTCAAATGCAATGCCAATCAATATCTCCAGATGCCTTGATCCCTGTCCTTATCTTCATCCTTTCTTCTATCGCGCCTCTTTACTCTTCCTCCCATTCTTTGTAACCCCTTGCGTGCTAGTGAGTCTAGCATCTCAGTTCCTAGGAACCGACAGCCAGACACCAACACATATGATTTGATTATAATGGTGAAGGCTTTGTGCAGAACGATAATGGGTATGTCCCCATTCTCATAAATACAGTAGTAAATACTCTATGTTGGTCTGCAGTTGGAGATTCGTCACCAGCTGTGCTGGCCAAAACCTCTGCTTTCGAGTAGAAAGGATCCCCAGACGAGGTTATGTCGAAGGGCAGAGTCACGTCTCGGGAAACAGCTACCCGAACCCGTTTTATACAAGGTCTACGGGGAACTTTTAGCCGAGCCTACGAGCTCGGATACACCACATTAATTTCGGCCTTGTGCCACATCTGACCGCGTGGCGTGGTTATTAGATGTCCTAGAGTTGGAGATTCATTGTAGAATTCATTTGACTCACTTCTAGCAGGTGACTACTACGCGCCGCTGGTTAATCTTATATATGTTGTTCTTATCCTTTGTGTGATTATTCTAACGATTATTTTGCATTGTGAATAGTCTATTTATTGTTCTAACGATTATTTTGGTAGGCAATAATGGTTAACTTTCGAATTATTCTAGGATCGATTGAGTGGAAATAATTGTTTTGGGTCTATATATAGTGTTCGTTAACTTTAAAAAATTTATTATTGATTGTTTGTCTGTTGTTATTATTATGTTTACTTCTGTGCGTTCGTAGTGTGTTAATCAGTTTATTATTTACTGAATTTATTTGCTTATTTATTAGTTTGAATTAATTTATTTTATTTATTTTTGTTTATACATTTTATGTCTATTTATATTATTTTTAACCTTTTAAATACATTATATTTATAATTATAGATACACATAAATACACACACACATTTGTTTTTAGCATACCCACGGACGATAATGGGTATGTCCCCAGTTCACATAAATACAGTAGTAAATACTGTATGTTGGTCTGCAGTTGGATATTCATTGTGGAATTCATTTGATTCACTTCTAGCAGTTGACTACTTCTACGCACCGCTGGTTAATATTGTATGTGTTGTTCTTGTCCTAAGTATTATCGTTCATTACCAACCTTCGTTTGATTATTCTATTCAGCAACCTTCCCTAAGTTGCAATAATATTATTATTATTATGATGTAGAGCAATATATTATTATTATTATTATTATTATTATTAAAAGATTATAAAAAAGATGTTGTAATCGCTACACAAAAGTTTTCATGTTTCAATGCTTTGACTGTAATTCTTCAGGCGATGGTAAGCAAGTATTGAAACATGAAAGCATTTGTGTAGCGATTACAACATCTTTTTATTATAATATTTTATAAAAATAATAATGATAATAATATATTGCTCTACTTTGTATTGAGCACCTTTTTTAAACTTTTGCTCCATCTTTCATTTGTATATATATTTATATATATATATATATATATATATATATATATATATATATATATATCTATATATAAAGCGCCAGACAGAGAGAGGCGGAGATATCGATAGAAAGAGAGTGATAGTGTTGTAATTTGGGTCACAAAATATACACACTAGAAGTTGACACGTTATTTCTTCACAGCTGTGTACATTGGGCATTCGTCACCAAAACTTTGCAGCGGACAATCGTGGATTTCTTTCGACGATTTCTTTTACATAAACAGGAGGCCCGGAATTCAACACTTGAAGCATTCCCACTTTCCGTTCAATGATCTAAAGCAAATTCTAAAATAAGCCTCAAGGAATTTCTACATTGACACTTGAGAAATCAAAAGATTCCGAAGAACACATTGTCCAGCTCCAGCGACAAAATAACGCTCAGATTTTGGGAAGTGAGTTTAGCTTAGAATTTTTAACTACCCACTCATAGATAAATTCACAACCCAACGGACGCTCAGGTGTTTAGAACTTAAGTAGTAAAATACCACCAATGTATTGTTACAGAAAAATTACCAATAAAACCTACAGTATTTATAGCAAAATGACCAACAATACATTTTATCTGTAATTGAAGGCATGCACTTGCTTTCAAAATATTTAGATTTCGGCATTATCTATCTATCGAGCTAGCTAAATTTGTTCATATCTAGCTAGCTAGCAAGCTAACTATATCCTACTGTTCATATCTATCTAGCTATCGATCTATCTTATTCTCTTCATATCACTTTATCTCTTTTCCGTTCTCTCTTTCTCTTTCTTTCTCCACTTATACATAATTCGCTTTTTTATCTATCTATCTATCTATCTATCTATCTATCTATCTATCTATCTATCTATCTATCTATCTATCTTAGTCTCTTCATATAAATTTATCGCTTTTCCTTTCTCTCTCTAACTCCACCTTTTTATAATTCTCTTTTTTATCTATCTATCTATCTATCTATCTATCTATCTATCTTGGTCTCTTCATATAAATTTATCGCTTTTCCTTTCTCTCTCTAACTTCACCTTTTTATAATTCTCGTTTTTATCTATCTATCTATCTATCTAGAATCACCGACGAAATTATTCGTACACTGAGAAATAGATAAAAATATTCAAAATTAATAATTTTGAATATTTTTATTCATTTCTCAGGATCTAATGCCCGTATGATGCCAGGTTTTTTTTATATGTTAATATATATAAAAAAAAAAGAATATAATATAAAGTATTATATTCTCAGATAAAAATATTAAAAACTGATGGATGTACGAATAATTTCGTTATTGAATCTAACTATGGCAATAAACTACATCCGGTAGCAAGGCCTCTGATCGACAGATGGCAAATTTTAAGCAGCGTGGACCCACCTCTTTAGCTGTTGGGGTCCCAGTTTTGTTCAAATAGTGAACCCCCAAACAAAAACATAACGCTATGAATGAAAATAGCAGAAATACATTTTTATATCAAAGAATTACCAACAATACATATTTATAATAAAATTACCAACAATACAAATTTAAAGCAAAATGACCCTCCCCCAATAACTTAGATCTGTAGTTCAAAATATTTAGATTTCGACAATGAATGATCCAGAGAGTTTGATATGCCGCTAAACAAAATCAACCAAACCAAACTATATATACATATATATATAAAACATGTGTGTACTCTGAAAGTATAAAATTATCTATAAAACATCTGTAGTTGAAAAAATACAATTGCGTTCAAATTATTTATATTTTGGCATCAAATAACCCATAGAAATTGATATGCCACTAAACCGAGTCAAACAAACTAAACTATATTTCTATAAAACACTAGCAGTTTTCGTCCGCTCGCCCTCGCTTCGCAAAGTAAGATATATTCTCTACTTGAAATCTTAGATCAAAAATTTTAAATGAGCATTTCATTCATAAATTGGCTTGTTAAAGTTAAGGAAAGTTTTACAAATAGATGCCAACTTGTTGAAGGCTAAATAAAATGCGAGTTTCAAACACTTTTCTGTACTACATAAGACGATATTCCTAAACAGAACTATTTGTGATATGAAAATCAAAACAATCCTCGAATAAAAAACAGTAATGAAGGACAGTTAATTAATGAAATAAACTATTTTTTAAATCAATATGCAAATTAGTTAAACCTGAAGAGTGATATTGTCTAGAAGTGGATAATATATAATACAGATATTGAGCATTATGCTTGTTAATTACTGCACTTTTTGAGTAGATATGCATCTACTTATCGTCTCTTAGTTGCGTCTCTGTCCTTGGACAGTGCGCTCTGGGGCTTCTCTGTCAAAGGACAGAGAGGCAACTGAGAAAATTATACTGAGGAGGTTCCCAGCCCTGGGGAACAGCTGCCCGAGGCCGCCCCCCATTGCACCAAAGGGAGGGATCGGTGCTCGCATCGAGACCAGCGCAACCGACGGTTGCGGGAGCTGTGGGGAATTTTTGTTCCTGTCCCGGGCGTACGCGCTCGGGCTCCCCACCTAAAAATTGACCTTGTGTCACATCTCGTCCTAGTGTTAATTACTATGAAGTAGAGCTAGGGATTTTTTAACCGGGTATTGAACTCACACTCTTTGGGTCCTGTCACTGGATCTAACCAACGCCTTTATCCACTGTGCCATGTGTCCTCAAGATTGAAGCAGTGGAGAATTATCGTGCCAGAACTGAACTCTGACTTTCGTGTTTATTCATATAGATTCCATAATATAACTTTTACTTAATTAGCATCAAAAGGCTTTTGATTCTTTTTCACTCCCAGTAGCCGCTTGCATCTTTGAAGTGAATTGATTATAAACTTAATAATAATAATCTAAATAAACAAACAGCAAATTCTTCCTGTCTTTCCTCCCGTGCTTGTGAAACTCCTCTACCTTGGGTCACACTTACTCTACATAGACATACACATTTTTGGAATCAGGATGATTCCAGTATTGAAAATCAGCCCTTCATCTGGTGCTTGAACATCCAACCTTTTGAGTTGTATCCAGGTGAGAAGGGAACAGTTAAAAATGCAAATTTTAAATAATTGAGAAAAATTAGTAATTCTAAAAGTTTAAAGTAACATAAAAACTCTGTGAATTTATTTATCTAATTTCATTTAAATTCAGTTTAAAATATCTCCAAAATTTTGCGAATTGAGGAAATCAATTTTATTGTTTCAAAATGCCAAGGAGTCAGATTTAAAGTGAGAGATTTTGTGGCGTAAGGTTTTGAAGTTCCGCAGAGTTTGTGATTTGAAGAACTCGACTCAACTAAAGTTCCCCGGTGTTTATGACTTGAAGAACTCAATTTTCGGCCTGAATTGGAAGTTCAGCCCAAATCGGACTAATAGCCCGAATCAGATTTAAAGTGGTTTTGAAGTTCCATTGAGTAAACTGAGGAATTTAAAATTATTTCTTAAAAATTATCATTGCTGTTTTCTAAGTTGAATCAGAGGTCCCTTTAATTTTGAGCCGGAGGCACAATTAGCACCCCCCCAACACACACACATGAGGTAGCTTAAAAGTCCTCAAGGGGTGTGGCTTTTAAGGTAGTAATAAATAACTTGCAAAATGTTGATAACCTGTAAAAAAAAAAAAAAAATACAACCCCCCTCCCCGAAAAAAACAAACAAATCAATAAGTCAATCTAGCTTATTTTGATATTAGTACAAAGCGAAACATTTTCCCCCTGAATCTTGAGTTATGAGATTTTTTTTTGTGTGTATTCCCATGCTTACATAAAACTGGATTAAATTTGGATAAAACCAAAGCCAATAAAAGAGTTCATTGTGTCCAGAGGCAAACGAAATGTCTGGTTTAAATATTGTGGCCATTTCCATCCGGATCTAAGACTAGAAAACTTTTTTTTTCTGTGTGTTTATAAAAAGCAGACAAAATAAAAGAGTTGATTTATTTTGTTTAATCAAATGAGAAAATGAATTGAAAATACAGTAGTTCAGTGAGACAAGCGTATGACTCGAAAGTGGTATGCCTTTGCGATTCACTTTTTGCCACAGTTCCATGAACAGACGTTCTACTCATAGCGGATGGCTGAGTCCAGGTTTCAATAATAAGTGTAGAAAAGGTTAGTCGGTCTTTCTACAAAATACCCACAGACGAAAGGAATATTGCACATAGAAAAAAGTTCGTTCTAGACAAGGGGTGGGCAAACTACGGACCGCTTGCCACATGCGGCCTGCAAAAAAAAGAATTCATGTGCCCCGTCAAATGTTAGTAAATTTGAAAGAGAAAGTTACCAAGAAACTCGTCGCCTAATTTCACCAAATGGGTAAATGACTGCAATTAGATAAATTATTCTTATTGAGTCAGTAAGATCCTTCTGTTGCTGAGTTACTTTGTTTTTCAAATAAATCTGTTTTATGTGAAGTTAATACTGCAAAATATCAATTTTTTTTCTTAAACTGAATTACAGTGTAACCCGGATATAAGAGACCCGGATATAAGAGAAACCCAGATATAAGAGAGATTTTCTCTGGTCCCAAAGTGTTCCCATACTTACTTAAACAAAATAGACAAAACCCGGATATAAGAGAAACCCGGATATAAGAGACTTCTCCGGTCCCGACCACTCTCTTATATCCGGGTTACACTGTACTTTGTTTACAAACATTACTTTGTTTCCTGTGAAGTTTCTACTTTAAAATCTAAATTAATTTTTTCTTTAAATTTAGTTACTTTATATGTGTTTTATTTGAAGTTTTTACTTTAAAATATTAGTAAGAATTGTTTTTTTTTATTTCTTTACGCAGAGTTAATTTGTTTTTCAAATGTTTTCTACTTTATAATATTAATTAATAAAATTAATATTTTTCTTAAAACAAGATTATTTTGTCTTTCATATGTGTTTTAATACTTATTAATATTTTTTCTTTAAAGTACTTTAAACTGAGTTACTTTGTCTTTCGAATAAATGCGTCTCATGTAAATCTTCTAGAATAATTTAAAACATTAATTTATAAAAATTAATTGCATTTTTTATTTAAAAGCCTTTTTTGTCTATTTTAAATATTAATTATTTTGGATTAATATACTATGCGGCCCATTATAATTGTAAATTTTTGAATGTGGTCCTTGCATTGAAAAGTTTGCCCACCTCTGTTCTAGACTGAAGCTGTCATGAAAATGTTTAAATAAGGAAGGTAGAAAATTTATTTATTTCCAGCCTTTATCAATTACCTACAGAAGAACAACAGATACACGAAGGATACCATAGCGCACTAGAGAAGCACACCATACCAAGATCCCCACGATGCATAAAGAGTACCACAAAACAAATCACGATAACCGCTGCACATGAAGCTTGCTATACCACATCAAGTTTGCCACAGAACGCCTCACTGCGCCTTCCTGATCTCGCGTTTTTCACTGACCTAAGTTGTAAAACTACATTGAATCAATTGCTGCATCTATCGCAAGGAAAGTTGGTTCTCTGTGTTGCGCCTGAAGGTTTTTCTTGTTTGACTCCATCCTTCACATCTCCAAATCCACCATTCATCCTTGCACTGAATACTGTTGCCATATATGGTCTGGTGCCCTTGCTGTTCATCTCGAGGTTCTCGACAAAATCCAAAGACGGATATGCAATGTGATAGGTCCTGACCTGGCATCACGGCTCTAGTCATTTTCTCACAGACGTTATGTGGCTTCCTTCTGGAATCTTTCTATAAATATGTTCATGGCATTGGCTCTGACGATCTATTTTCACTGGTGCCCCGATTGCATGAATTTAAACGTGCTATTAGGTTGACATCTCGCTCACACCCTTTTACTGTCGAAAGAGTTAAATGTAACCGCCTCTTCTACTCCAACAGCTTCCTCTCTCGCACTTCTCGACTGTGGAACTCCCTTCCTCTTACTTGCTTCCCTGATAACTATAATCTTCAAAAGTTTAAATGTAA